TCTGACCCCTACAGCACTTCTCCTTCATGGATGTCCCCTGTTTGTCTTAGTTTCATGTTGGGTAGACAGAGGAGACTTGAGTCAGCTCAGTGCCTCAAGAGTCTGGCCATTTGGCAATTGAGCCAGTTGCTTGGCCAGTGTGGAAGAGATCTAGAAGACCCACCTCTGTTTACTGGAACATGACCAAGTTTTATTCATGACTGTCAGGCCTTCAAGTCCTCACCACTCATCTCACCCAAACACCCCCATGTCCCATCCATGCCCTGTCACATCTCTCATGCCTCCACCATAGAACACTGAACAAAACAGCACAAAAACAGGCCTTTTGACCCATGTCTGTGTAGACCATGATGCTATTGCAAGCTAATCCCATCTGCACCATGTCCCCATATCTTCCCTGCCCATCATGTAACCTCATATCTCCCTCTTTGCCCGCATTTTGTCAATGGCCTCAATGTCTTTTTCATGCCCCCATGCAATCTTCATGCCCATTTTCCCAGTATCCACTAATGAACCAGTGAGCCATTGATAAGTCTGGCAAGTCTTTGAAATGCTCATTAAAAACTGACACAATAAATAAGAAAGCTTTGAATATCTATTGTGAAAAATAATACTCAGCTTACAACTTCAAAACAGTGTCAAGAAGTTGCAGCCATTCGTGGACTTAATGACAAAAAATATTATCAACTTTGCCCCGCTTAATCTTGTGTCAATAAACATATAGCTATTGAAAAAAAAAAACTCTTCAAAAATGATCTGCATGTTATAAAGGTAATAAATATGTAGTGCAAACAAAGCTATCACTCCTTTCTGCAGTTGTGCAAGCAGGCTGCAGCTCAGTATTAAGTGGAGTAGTCACACCTAGTCCCAAACCAAACATTCATTATGATGACATCTAGCAACTGTATCATTAAATGATGTTGAGCAAACTCTCTGCTTCTCAAACTCTCACTCCTACTTTAAGACATTCCTTCAAACCCATCCTATATGACCAACTCATCTTAATGTTTCCTTCAGTGGCTTGGTGTGAACTTTTGTATAATAATCACTGCATGGAATGTTTGAGATAACACGGTGTAGAGCTGGATCAACACAGCAGGCCAAGCAGCATCAGAGGAGCAGGAAGGTTGATGTTTCAGGTCTGTAAACACAACTTGCTGTTGTTGTAATACATAAAGCTAAATATGTGTCTGGATTTCTGTATGTTAATCAAGAGTTTATCACCCTAATTTCTGATAAACCTTTAAACATTAAGTCTGTGTTTTCACTGCAAAATGTGTTTCTCAAAATGTATGATAACTCATCATTATCTGGCGATCATATATCCATCTGGAGAGGTATGCTTTGCAGTTATTTGACAAATTTGTTGTCTTTCCACTGCTTGCTGTCACTCAACATCACTTCATAATCATTGTCATTAGAGTAGTCTTCATCAATATCTTTGGGCACAATGGGCTTGTTTCATACTGGAGATCTGGTTGTCAGCTGACTCTCACTCAATTATCGATTATCTTGGCTCCATGATTGATATGAACTCTTGCATTACTGGGTTCAAATGGAACTATTTACCAGGTGTGGCTTCAACCATTCTCTGCTATTTTCTAATTACCCTGTTTAGAGATCATTACATACCTTCAGAGCAGGTGGAACTTGAACACAAGCCTTGTAGCTCAGAGATAGGTACAGCTCAACCACTGTTATCCTTTACCTGATAATGCCACATGCATTTTAGAAACAGAAAGTAGAAAGAAAATGCACAAATCACTCTGAATCATTTTACTGAAGAGTCTTCAGTATAGTTAACACCTTGGGTTATAGTTTCCAAATGCTTCAAGGTCTTAGCTGAAATTCTGCTATTTTTATAGAGGCTGAACACATATTGTGTGAGAGAGAAATTTCAGATGAATGTTTTAAGTGCTGTTCCTCCATTATTAAGAGAGTCATTTCAATGAGATTTATAAACCCTTGTGTAGAGAACACCAAAAATAGTGAAAATTAAAGAGTATTAAAACACTGAAAATACAAATCTTGTTACAAATGATTGCTGGTTTTATTTATTATGTATGTAACATTTTCCACAGTGTACGTATCATCATGCCCAGCAGTTCATCCCTTGCATAAACAGCCTTCATCTGGTAAAAGATTAATTGCTCAGACCTCTACCTGACAAGAAGCTTGTGCATTCAGAGCCAGCACCATAGGATGAATCATGGTGGCAGGATAAGTATTAACACATGAATTAGAACATATTGGTCTAGCTTTGAGTCTACAATATGTCATATTGCATCTGGAACAATTACAGTTTAATTTGCCACACTTTTTGCAGTCCCCTCACACGGTCATTTCAGGTTACCATTTGTAGATTAAGTTCAACACATTGCTTGCTGAAACACAGTAACAACGTGAAACGTTGGCAAAGAAAGCATGTTCACTAATAGCATGCTAATACTTAGAGATAATTGGAGCAACAATTCTGCCAATACCTCACTTTTTCTTGAGTATGACTTTCTGTATAAATATCAACATCTATTTTGTCAGAATGGTGGTATTATTAATACTTTGGAAATAGATAAACCTGTTGCTTGATTCAACAGCGAGTAAACATTTAAAATGGGAAATACTAAAGTTCTAGGCTGGCTGCATAGATATGAGGGTTATATTATTTAAATTCAGATTTCCAAAAGAAATCTTTGCATCTTTGCCAACAACTTGACTTGAAAGATTCAAAGATGTTATTGCTTAGGAATAAAATCATTTTGTACATCTAGCTAATTGATTTTTAGACAAATAAGTTGCTGTTAAAAGATTGGGTGGTCCAGTGGGTTTACATCTTGTCCTTTTACCACATACTGTTAGCGTGTAAATCTTTTTAATGAATTTAAGCAATCTAAGTAAAGTGAACTTGATCATGTGAATGTCGTCTATTGAAAATTTGTGAGTAGTGTTAAATGTGTATTTAAAGCAGTTGCTTGCACCAATCATGATGCTACTGATGTTCCTGCCCTACAGGGGCAATATTAGAGAGATACGCTGCTGCTGCATCAATGAAAGATAAAAACTGGTTTGGCCTACCTATCCAAAGTGAAAAAACAAAATTAAAGTTGCAGTCATTCTAATATGTCACTGTGTCAGTGCTCAAATAGAAATAGATCTCCAAGATTGATTATAGTGAGATTTGCTATTATGGAGCCTGATTACAGCACTAATGCAATGTCTAGGCAGGACAGAGGTTAACCAAGCAGTCCGAAATCTTGAAAATAACATCAGGCAGGTATCAATGCACATGGTCTCGGTGAAGAAAGGAAGGTCAAAAAACATGTCACCCTTCTCACACTTCATTAAACTCATTCTGCCTCCAAAGCAGGCCACAATGTTTAGACTCATATATGCTCAAATTTGCAATACTCCCACTACATCAAATAAAAATACAGCTGGAACAGATTTCCAATATATCAAAACATAAGATGAATTCTGGACAGAAATATTCTTAAATCTATATTTAACCGAGTAGGAATTGATAAAACGCCACACTAACTGACTGTCTACAAATTGTGTGCGTTTTGAACAAAATAGAATGTATCTGCAAAAACAAATTCACTCCATAGATTTACGTACGTGTGTGCATGTGTGTGTGTGTGTGTGTGTGTGTGTGTAGTGTGTGTGTAGTGTGTGTTCCTACTTTAGAAATAAAATCAGCCTGACTCCAAACCGGATTCAAACCAGAATACAAACAGAATCTGAACAAGGCCTCACACCTAACATGCATTGTCTGACCTAAAATGTCACCCCTTCTTTACACTGATAAAACCTTTAGTTCTCTCAGGGCAGGGACTTGAAAGGAATTCGGTAATTTACATATACTTATGAATCAATTAAAATCTTCTAACTGATTAAAGATTTAACAGCATCTTAGGTTTGTTTAATACATCCTCATCAGTGGTGTGACCTTTCCATCTTTTACTTATAAAGTCTGTGTCTGATACTACCTCTCTCACTAACACCTAAAGAAGAAGTGAGGTCTGAAAGTTTGTGTTTTCAAGTAAACCTGTTGGACTATAACCTGAAGTCGTGTGATTTCTGACCTTGTAAAAACATGGGAGACTTTCAGCATAATTACCTGAGTTGACTGTTCCATAGGTTTAAACTGGATTAAACTCCAAAATTTTAAACAATTTTGACAGCTCCCATTTTAAATACTGTATTTCTAAGAACACTAGAACTTTTTTTTCCTGAGAAGATGATAGAATTTTACTGCAGTTTGGTCCATTATTGACAATATCATTATAAAATCAAGCACTGCACCACTCAAGAAAAACTTCAATATTCTTAAAACTAACCTCTGTTCTTTATCCGAAAATACATGTCATGAACTTATTCAATGAATCTCCCTGTCAGATCTCAAACTTGATGTTACTCGATTATGATTCTCCAGACATGCTTAGCCTGCAATAAGTCATTTAATATACAGATTCAAATGTCTTACCTCTGATAACCTGCTAATGCTATTACCAAAACTGATAATCTCCCAAACAGTCCATTCCTGAACCAACAATGACTCCTTAAACACACGTATTAACAGATTCAAGAACAGCTTTTTCTCTGCTATTATTAAACTTCAGAATGGACCTCTCAAATTTCAAAGTTAATGTTGATCTCACTCTTTATGTACTTTCTCTGCAGCCATAACATTATATTCTTCTGTCTGTTTATCACCCTAACGCACCCTAATGTAGTATGATCTGCATGTAGTGCATGCAAAACAAAACTTTTCACTGTACCTGTGACAATAATAAATCAAATCAAAAAATAAACTGCATACGGAATTCTTTTTTGAAGTAAAACAGTTGAGTAGATCAACATAATATTAAAGGGCAATGGGATTAAAAATAAAGTGGCTTTAAAAGTTTTTTAAAAATCAGTTTACGCTAATATCAATAGGAAGTTTGACCCTAATGTACCTTTGTTCATCCAACAACCAATTTACCAATGTGATTACTTACTTGATGAGAAATTGGTTTCGGTGTGAACGGGAGGAGTAGAAGGAAGAAAAGATGGGTATCCCACAAAGAAGGAGCGCAAAGACCGTTCGGAGAGGAGAGGGGAACGCTGAGCAGGGATGTTCTCACAGCTACCAACACTATTGTGAATCTTCAGGTTTAGAGGTTTGTTCTTTTTCTTTGCTCTGACAGAATAATAAAAAGGCAAGGAATCAGTAAAAAGCTGTTCACATGTACAAAACTAGGCTCAAAAATATAATAAAGACTCTTTACTTATAAACAATAATGAGCATGGTAACAACCAGAGATGGGTACTCAAAGTGGTGCAAAATCTTTCTGACACTGTTCATCTTTGTTTGGGTTTTACTGCAGGATTGACTGAATTTCTAGAACCGATTATGAATAATTCAACAAATTGAACAATGGAAATATCACATAAATAGTGAATGCACATATTTCAAAAACCACGCAGTTCTCCATTTCCAAAGTATCTAGATCCTGGATCAGTGAAAAATATTAAGGAACACATCAGAAAACTGAAATTTCCCTGCAAGCAAAGGAGAAATGTTTCTATTTTAATTGAAGGATTAACAACAAAACTTGTTGCCTTTTAAATTTCACCTTTTTAATTAAGACTTCTGTCCTTTCTGTTTTCTGCATGTAGTTGACTCCATGAAGAATCATGAGATATTCCATTAGGTTAAAGGTGACATTTAGTGCAAATTGTTGTGATCTTTGAAGTAATCAGTTTGAAGAGTATTTTCTTCGTGGAATACCTCTGCTCTGTAAGAATGACCCTCACCCTCCAGTTGCTTGCCATTTCAACAAACCACTTTCCTCCCATGCTAATTTTTCTATCCAAAACCTGCTACAGTGTTCCAATGGAGCTCAATATAAGCTGGAGGAATAACATCTGATGTTCTGCTTAGGCACTTTAAAGCCTCTAGCACTCAACATTAAATTCAATATTTTCCAACATGACCTTTGTTCTCCATTGGGATTAGTCAAAAATGCTTAGGATCTAAACTAGGTACCCAGTAAAAATTAATCCCGATTTGATTCCATTGTTAATTTTTTTTCAAATCCCTTCTTTACCATTATGACTCAAAGGTATTTCACCAAAGTGTTTCTGAATTTGCTTTAGCGCATGCTTTATTTGAAACACTCTTAAGAATATGTAAGATATAAACCTACAAAACAACTAAAGTTGAAACACAAATATAGATCTGCACCACTCTCACAAGTAGACTCAAATACATCCGCAATAATATTAATGTTCTTGGTTGCCATTTTGTTTTCGATATTACTGTCAATTTTTCAATTTTCATTTGAAACTCATTGCAAACTTTGAGGTGAAATTCAATTTCATTGGTAGATGAAGAGAAAGGGTGTCTACCAGCCACTGGTTATGGTCCCTGCCCAATATTTGACTGGTTGGATGAACAGGATGAAGTAGCAAGAACTGCCAATCAAAGGCATGTGGAATTTTTGATGCTGTCAATGAAAGAGGAAACAAATTGTGAGAGCAGTGTTTCCCCTACATTTTCCCACTGTGACTCCAATTCAAGGCTTTGAAGTTGTCGTCACCTACCAGTGGGAGTGCGGAGGATGGGAGTGAGACTTATAGGATCTGGTGGGAAGGGAGGGAAAGTTTGTGGGGGGACTAATGAATTGACGGCCTCTGAATGCAAGCATCTGTTAGAGTGGGAGTACAGCTCTCATAATTCAGTCAGCATTCCATTATTGCCAATGCCACCTCACTGCTTGTGCCCCCAATTAGGATCTGTGATTTACTGTTTAAAATGTCCATTCTAACTTAATTTTTCAGACAACTGTTTCTTTAATACTACTGGTTCTTTGTGATATGGTTGAAGAACATTCATGGTGCATGTTTCTCAAAAGTTTTGGGGATTAACGAAGAAAGTAAAACTGAGTGAGAAAATCTTTGAGTACTGAGTAGTAAGTAACAAAAATATAATGCATCCCAAGTGAAATATACAGATGATTAAACATTTGTTAAATGAGAAAAGGCAAAAATTAGCTAGTCACTGAATGGTTACATGATATCCTATAGACTCAACAACTGTTGCATGGATGATTGATATAAGACATTTTCTGATAAAATAGTCAAATGTATTATGAAGGCTCCTTTATTGTCTCAGTAATATTATCTCCCATTGAAGCTATGCAGATGACCAGAATAGCTCATTGATTCCTCTTTTATCCAGGGGACATGAGGCAGTGTTTCCTGCATCATTACTTTACAATAGGATTTCCTCCTCCAGCAATTACATTTTATGCTCATGAAATTAGTTCATTTTGAATAATAATTAAATTGCAAAGCCATCATGCCTTTCTGACAGGAGCATTATTTCTAACTGGAGAACAAATGAATGGCTTTTTGAAACTGAAATATTCATTTTGCAACATAATGTGGAAAACTAATTTGAAAAGTAGTAAGACATTTATTGGCATTTGAATATGGTAGAAGCAGCAATACAAATACAGCATGACAGGATAAGACACATAGTTACATCAGATCAGACAGCTGTATCAAGACTGGCATGTGGTACTTGTCAAAATGAGGACTAGCTCATCCAAAATGGCACTAACTGTGGTTTCACACAGGCATACAGTATTTTCTACAGCTATAAAATAGATTCATGGCAATTATGATATTAATGAGTAAACATCATGTTGAGCTTTTCATTTAAAACTATGATATGTTGTAGAAAAACAATGAGATTGTTTTAACCTTAATTTGCAATGGGACTTCCATATTCTCCAGTTTATGACGATGTAATATAGGAAATGCTACAGGGAAATATTACTGGTCTTTATCTGGGTTTTTCACAATGGGATATTGTATCATTAACAACAGATGTATTTATTTATCCCTGGAAGTATTGCCCCCACATGTCGTGCAAAATTTTACAAAATAGTTTGTTTATAGATTGTGATAATTAGTAAAACAGAAGTTCTCAAATTCTGGTCATTGACTGACTGGTAGCACTTTACCTGCAAACTTGGCAGTGCAATGTTTATATTCTGCAGCCCAAAAACAGTTTCTCAGAAGTGTCAGGTTAGCCAGCAGTCTTAAGTCTGCTCCAACTTTAGCATCACTACAAAGAAGAAGACACTAAAATTCCTGCATAAATAACCCCAAAACAATCCAATGGAGGTAGAATTTGACTTCAGTGTGTGTGCAGAATGACTGAACTGCAGCTGATGCCAGTTGCACCCCACTCAATAAGTAGCTCCACTGAAGTCAATGTGACTGAATGTCACTGAATGTGGCTGGATGTAGAATAGTGGCAAACGTGCCAAAGTTTAATTTCACTCCCAGGGTGTTTACCTCATTATCTCCTTCAGTTTGGTTTTGCTTCAGTCACGAATTATTCAGATACGATCATTGACATTTCAAGTTGAATACAAATTTTCTGAAATAATTTTTCACTGAAAAGATTAACTCAGTTTCTCTCTCCACAGATGCTTCCAGAATTGCTGAGTATTTCCGTCACTTTCTATTTTTATTTAACATAGCTTTGTTGCTTTTGTACTCCATGCTCCTACTGACAAAAATTGCAATGCTCTGTGCTTTATTAACTGTGCTGTAATTTGTCCTGTTACCTTCACTGATTTAGGCATGGATGCAACCAGGTCACTTTGATTCTGTTCCCTCGCTTAGAATTTTGCCCTTTATGGTATAATTCAGATGGTTTTATGCAACTGCAGGTAGCATTCCTGCCTCTGATCTGGAAGCTCCAGCTCCACTCCAGGAGTTGATAGCCAAGAAAGGTGAGCAGACAAACAGATTGATGATTGATCCACATCTGGATGAGTTTTCTGTTGTTACTTCGTACAACTCCTACAGCTGTGTGAACAGTCTGATAACTGCTCAGCCAGTTGAACGCCCGCATCTTTCCTATCAAGGACCATACCCAAACCTGTTGCCGTGGTTCAAGTATGTCTCTTGCACAATGATGTCTATTAAAGCATGTGGCCTCCTGCTCATAGTGGAGCAGCTCCTTATATATACTTTCATAGGTCATATATATTTTGATAGTCTTATGGGTGTAACTGAATGGTCAATTTCTCTGGTAAACCACACTGTAGTTTGAAAATGTAGCAATGGTATGTGAACATCAGTATTTTTCTGCAAATGTGACTTGACTGTCTGGACCTCATGCTTGGCCTCACCATTTGACTATGGGGCAAACTGTTGACGTGTTCAAATCCAGAACTGGCAGCAAATTGGCTGAAATATAGTTTAGCGACTGCCAGCACTCTCCCTGTGTCAAGCTTAAAATTAGTGAGATGTCCACGGACATAGATATCTTCTTGGCAAAAGGCTAGATCTGCATCACATATTTCCCCTAAGAATACCTTTGGCTTTTCTTCTATTGTAGGCTGCTTTACATCGTTAATGTCTTGGTGTGAATAGCTATTTATCTTCATGCTGTTCCATTACTGTACCAATTTGGTACATTTTTTGAACAAGACCTATTAAGACATTACTTTCCTTCTTGTGCCACTGACGTGACAATGATGGTCAGTGTCTTTCCTTCCTGTACTGGCTTCTCAAATGTTTCTTTAGGGACTTTGTATCTTGAGACCTCAATGGATTCTGCAGATCTCCTGTGATAAGATTGATCCATTCTGTTAGGATTGCTTCGAGACATCTGCTTCACACACCACCTGAATGACTTTCTCTAGAGTTGCATCTCCTTTTGAATATAATAAATCTGACAAAGATTCATGTGCAGTTCCAACAACAATGCTGTCTCTTATGATTTGTGCCTATAAAGTTTTATAATCATATTTATTCACTAAACTGTAGAGATCATTAATGAAATTGTCTATTAATTCACCTAGATCTTGAACTCTATTAGATCTTGCTCTTTCAAGGATTTTGTTTGTTCCGAGATTAAAGCGATTGTCAATGGGTTTCAGTGTTTCTTAAAAGTATCTGTTGCTTAAATTTACGCCTCGGTAAATGACAGTGCTATCAGCTATATTCCCAAATGTATTAACATGTCCAACTTCAGATTTAGTACCTAGTTTGGAAGAGATTCTGCAACTTTAGAATAGTATTCTCCAAGATGTCCAATCCTATGTTCTATTTGGCCCATCTTTGAATTTGATCTTCCTGGCAGTATTATTTCTGCTGGCATGTTTTCCTGGT